CATCTTTTGCAACGCAGTCCCTGTTTGTGTGTGCATAACCACTTCATTGCAGCCCCCACAGGAACGTCTCTGCAGGATGGCCCGATCAACTTTTTGGAGGGCCAACCCCAATGGGCCGCTTCAAGGGCACATGCAGGACTGGGTCTGAAAAAAATTACACAACATTTACAAGTAGAGAAAGATGGATCTGAAAGTATTCCACTGCAATCCTTCCAGAAGGAGGAGGAGGGTGGAAAGAATCTAGTATTCTTGCTACCTGAAATCACCTTGCAAGAATATAGTATCAGTGAATTAAGCAATGAATTCAGCTAGGTTGTATTAGGGATATTACATGAAGGGGAAACTTAGCTATGCAGATCAAAAGGGCATTGACTAACTTGGCTCAATTTCTTGGAGCCTGCTTTTCTGCAATATATGTATATGTATATGTATGTGTGTATTTTTTTTAATTCACTATCACCTATTCTCCACCTTTGCTAATATTTTTTATTTTTTAAGTGAATAATTCAACTCAAGTGTTAGTCTCCAGCCAAACAGAAATGTTCATAAAAACATGGGTGACTTATAGCCCGAGTTCACACAACACACTGAGTAAAAATACAGGTAGTCCTCGACTTATGACTATTCATTTAACAACCATTTGAAGTTACAATGGTGCTGAAAAAAGTGACTTACAACCGATCCTCACACTTGCGAGCATTGCAGTATCCCCATGGTCACGTGATCAATATTCAGGTGCTTGGCAACCAGCATGTATTTATGACGGTTGCAGCATCCCAGGGTCATGTGATTGCCATTTGCAACCTTCCCAGGGAGTTTCCAACAAGCAAAATTAATGGGGAAAGCTGGATTCGTTTAATAACTGTGTGATTTGTTTAACAACCACAGCAAAAAAGGTCAAAATTGGGCACAACACACTTAACGATCACATCACTTAGCTACAGAAGTTCCGGTCTTAATTGTGGTCGTAAGTCGAGGACTACCTGTACAGTTTGCTTGCCTGTGGTGTTGCACTCTGTAGGAACCCAACCTGGGCAGTCTGCAATCATGATTTATAGGGTAGCGTATTGTACAAACTCACCCAGTGTTGCTTCCTCCAGTAAACCATCCCCTTTCTACATGCATCATGGTGTCACAAGGATACCCCAAAGGGGCAGAGCTTCTGGGGCCGCTCTGCTTCCGTCATTTTGATTAAAACAGTAAGAGCTGGCAGGAGCTGCTGACCCCCAACCTCAAAAGGAACATAAAAGCAGCCTCAGATTCCAGGCAAGTCAAGAGGAATTTAAATATTTCTTCCCTCCTTACCTGATATGCTCACATTTTTTCCAGCCTCCTGCCCAATTCCAAAGAAACGCAACCTCTCTCTGTGATTGGATGGGATCAGCTCCACTTCTGAATCACCAACCTTTGAACTTGCTGGCATTTCCTGCTCCCACGGCAGCCAAACAACCGGGAAAAAAAATCAGAAACACAATGGAAGACAAGAAGATTTTGTTGTTCTGACCCGCAGCAACAGCACTGTTTATTTAAAAAAAACAATAAATATTTTCTAGGCACTGTTAAAAAATACACATCCTGCCCCCCTAGCCAAAGAAAGCATTGTCTAAAAAATAAAGCAAAAGGAAGACAAGACAAAAATGTGCACAGATGGGAAAGCGAGTGAACGATGAAATGAATACATAGGAATCAAATAAGATACTGAAAAACAAAGGCAAGAGAAAAAAGATGACGTTTTAGCCAGTTAGATAAAGAAGAGATCACTGCATAGTTGAAGAGAGGAGGACTCCAGATTCCAAAACTAAGAAACAGCCACACCTCTAGTGAACAGGTACAGCTGACTAGTTGGGAAACAGCAAAGCAGGGGAGGTACTGATCCATTCCTGATCACTTTACTTCTCCCCTACTCAGCAAAGGAGCTGGAGTTGGCAATTCCCTGAAACCCTGTTATTGGGAAGAAAGGGCATCTGGCTTTATATTGAAAAAGATTCTCTTCCTTCCAAGGACTTCACAGCTCCCTTCTCTTACATTCATGCTAAGATGGAGAAACGCTACACTTGCAACCTTGAGCAAGTCAACGTATCCTGGGAGGATCTGCGGAAAAGCAAACTCATGCTGGGGCTTTTCATAGCAATAGTCCCCCATAAGGAAGAGAAGCTCTCACCTGCTTCATTCCCAGATCATTATCTGCTGCCTGGCTCAGCAGAAAGCCCTCGGCCAACGCCACTGCCTGGGAGCAGGTCTCTGCTCCGCACTCCCGCACCCAGCTCTCCATCTCGGCGGGCAGGACGGCCAGGAACTGCTCCAGGATCACCAGGTCCAGCATTTGAGCTTTTGAGTGCTTCTCTGGCTTCAGCCACTGATGGCACAGCTGGTGGAGTTGGCTGCAAACCCCTCGGGGACCGTCAGCCTCCCAGTAGCAACACTGCCTGAAAAGCTGGCACCATCCTCGTGACTTGGGGGTATCCTCACCCCACTGCCTCTGCCCTGGTCTTTCCCAAAGCACATCCCTCTTCTCAGCCTCAGTGGGCTGACGGATTCTGGCATCTTCCATCTTGCCCATTCCCCGCTTAGGGCTGGGGAATGTCTTGCTCTGCTACCAACAAGAAAAGCAACCCCTGGATTTAGGTGGCAGATCCTCCACTTGTCAATGACACCTGTCCGTGAAAGGGTGTCTCACACCAAAAAAATGGATGACAACTTACTGAGAAGAGCCTTATGCTGCAGACAGGAAAGATAAATGTGAAAAACGGAAATTAGGGATTATGGCAGCAAAGCAGGTGAGGAGTTCCTCCACCAAAGACACACAGATCTTTATTTGGTCAGTTATCCCATGCAATGAGCATCTCTCAATCAGGTGCCATCTGCCACAACAATAGCTGTGTTCACACAACCCATTTTACATGGTTACTGAATTAACCCAGAATCTAGATTTGAATCCCAAACTATCTAAAAGGGGCTGGGTTCGTGCCACAGGATACAGAAAACCACAAAAGTGCTAACCAACCTTCCCAGGTTGTTGGAATGCATCAACTCAGCTTTGAACTGACCCAGTTCAGGTGTTGCATGAAAACAGCCACCTTCTCCTTGCCCCTCTCCTCATGGTCCCCCTTCCCTTCTGCCAGCGCTCCAATCCAGCTGTGGCAACCAGCTTGAAACCAGTTTCAGTGAAGCCCAACTAGCAAGTTTTCTTCCCCTTCTTGTTTTGGATACCTTTATGCCCCAGCCGAACTCAACCCAGGGCCCTCTAAATGGGTGGACTACAACACCCATCACCTATAGCTGTGGGACAGGAGAAGATGGGACTTGCAAACTGCGATTCAACCCCTTTGGGCGGGGACTTGTCCATCTCGTGTCTTCCAAACCCCGCGTCTGACACCCCCTATTCACGGCTCGCTCCCCATCTTAAATCTAAATGCACTTTGCACGCACCCGGTCCCCGCGGGCGAGTAGGAAAACCAGGGGATGTTTTGCTCACTGGGGGGTGGGGCAGCTTGTAGCGCTTCCCATTCATAAATCTTTCCTTCCCAGCCGCCTCTCTAGGAAGCGGAACTCTTTCACTTTAACCCTTAGATTAATTCCCCATCTTCCCAAACAGGATGCGCTTGCTTTACACTTGGCTCCCAGGCCTATGTGCTTTCGTTGAAAGCTGCCGCTTAATAAAACTCCCTCAGTTGGAGCTGGTGGTTTAATAGATACAGTAGCCATGTTGTTTTCTTGGCAGCAATACAAAACTTATGTATCATTGGCTTCTTTGGGATTGTTTTTTACTTTACAGCCCCGAGATTTCTTAGTGGTCTCCCATCCAAGGCTTAACCAGAGTCAATCCTGCTTGGGTTTTTGAAAATTATATGGAACCCCAACCATTTACATTGAAAAAGAAAAGCGAGTACTGGGGGCTCCCACCCTTATGGTGTTCAGGAAACTATTGAAGACTTGGTTGTTCTCCCAGGCCTTGCAGACAGGGTGATTGTAGAGCCTCTGTTTTGTTCTTTTGCTTGCTTTGTTTTGATCTGGTTTTGATTAGTTTGCTCTTCTGGTCTGTAATCTGGTCTTTTTATATATATTTTGATTCTTAGGTGTAAGCCACCCAGAGTCATAAGGGAGTTGAGTGCCCTATAAATTAAGTAAATAAACAAACACTTTTGCCCCTGATTCAGTGATTAAATCATGTTTTTCAGGATGTAATATTTTGTTATTTCACTTAAACCCAGTTTGGCTATAAAAATTGCCAAAGAAAAGAGAGAGGAAAAAGCAAAACTGTAATACATGCATCTAAAAAAAAAATCGAGTGAATGTATTTTTCCAAAAATGGCAGCCAGTTAAGGAAGATAAATATACATGGAGATGAAAGGACAGCACACTAGAGGAAAAGAAACATCAGCAGCACAGCTGTACAAGACATTTGGGGATCAAAATGTCCCAAAGCCAAAACATCCTGCTCCCCTTGGAAGAGACTGTTCCAAGCCTGCTTAAAACAGGCAATCACCCAACTGATCCAACCTTCCAACCAGATGGAAAATCTCAATACGGTGTGTTTTAAGGGGACTCAATGAGAATAAAATCTCCCTGACACCAATTTTCCTCTTTTTTCATCTATCTGGTTAAGCCAGTGTTTCTCAACCTTGGCAACTTGCAGATGCGTGGCTTTCAACCCCAAGAATTCCCCAGCCAGCGGGGCTGGGGAATTC